ATCCCGACCCGGGGAAGCCTTGGCCTCTCCGAAGCCCCGCCCCCAGCCGCCCGCCTCATAAGCCCAGTCTCCAGTCAGCGCTCGGAAGCCAGGTCCACAGCCCCGCCCCTGGGAAGCTTGGTCTCTCTAGCCCCGCCCCCACCTTTCCCTCCGCGAGTGGCCGAGGACTGCGAGGCGCCGCCCCCAGACAGCCTGCCTTAGAAACTCCGCCCCAGCAGCTCCCCGCCCCTCGAGTTCTCTGCCAGGAGCCTACCAGCCTCTGGGAAGCTTTGGCCCCTCTCCAGCCCAGTCCCCATTTCTCTCCCCAGAATCTGCCCTTGGCCTGTCAGCGCGAGGCCCCGCCCCCAGTCAGCCTGCCTCGGAAGCCCCGCCCCCACACCGCCTGGAATCTCTCTGGCCCAGCCACCCCTCCCCCGAGGCTCTGCCCGGCCCCTGCGAGGCCCCGCCCCAAACCAAAGGCCTCGCCCCCAAGCAGAGCGCTGGGCTGAGGCCTGTGGAGTCTCGCGCGCTGCGCTCGAGGCAGACACGGCGAGTCGCCTGCGGGGCGCAGCGAACGGCGCAGCCCGGGTCTCGGAGCCACGGTGAGTCGCCCTGGCCTCGCCGAATCCGGGCCACGTCCCGCCCGGCCTTCGTCACGGTCCTCGCACCCCCCACGGAACCAAGGGACCCCGCTTCCTTGCGCGCCGAGCCTCGGGGGCGACTGGGCGTGATCGGAGTCGCTCGGACATCTTCGGAGGCGCTCAGTGGCGCCGCGGCCCCCGCCCGCGCCCAGCCCTGCACTTGGCTCGGGTCCAGACCCGTTATTGCTCCGCGCGGCCCCTCCCCCACCTGGGGCGGAGCTGGCGCGCTGACAGGGGGCGGGGCCTGCAGACCGCGTTGGGGACTGGTGGGGGAGGGGACCTCCCGGGATCCCCGAGGTTTAGGAACCTCCCCTGGAGCGCTTCGGGGGACTCGTGCACCCCGAGCTCCATCTGCGTCTCGCGTGCATCCTGGGGACCTTCCTAAAGGGGGGGGCATCGGGACCCCTGGGGTCCCTGGGGTCCAGGGAGGCTCTGCTGCCTGTGTAGGCCACTCCCCCTGCCACCCCCGCGTCCCTGCCTGGTCCCCTCCATCTTCACACGCCTGGACGCCCGGGCTTGCTGACCCTCCTGCCCAGCCGGCCTTCCCTCTCCCACCCTCCCAGAACCCCATGCAGAAGTTGCACCGGCATCCTACCCCACTTTAGGCTCTCCTGCTGTACAGCTGGACTGTGCAGCCTCAGTTTCCCCCTCTACTGCTGCAGGAACATCAGGCAGGACACCGGGAGTGTAAAGGAAGCAGGTATTTTGTTTCGGCCTGGTCCAGTGGACTCAAGCCTCAAAATCTGCACCCCAAAGACAAGTGGCACTGGATTACAGTGAGAAGGAAACTGATGTATTGATTGCCTATCAGAAAAGTCCTAAAACCAGCCAAATTATTATAAATTTAGAAAAATATGCTAAAAACATTCCCTGTCTGAAAGTCATCGAGGTCTCTTGAGACCAACAGAACTGAGGAAGTTTCATCAGGACACAAGGCCAGTGGTTCTAGCTACTGTGTCAGCGCTCTGACCACACACTTGTCAGCTGAACCTTGCTGACAGAGAGAAAACAAGGATTAAAATCCATATTTTCATTAAATATTCCATCAGGCTTCATATCACTAGAACAAAAGAGTATCACGATTATAGCATCTCATGAGGCCCAGGTATGCAGTAGGTGACTCATGCATGCACAGTTTTGTCTTGTGGTGTGGGAAATGGGAGCAAGGTTGGGAAGTTGGATTGTGGCCAGCTCCCTGATGAAGCCTGGGGTGTCCAGGGTGATGACCTAGAGGGACATCTGTGGAGGAGTGTGGGGCTGAGGTTTGGTGGGGAGCTGGGAAAGGTGTGCAACCTGGAAGGAATGGCATGCAAAAGCAGGGATGTGCAGAGGCTAAGGGTGGGAGACCACGTTTGAGTGGATGCAGACCAGAACTGTGGAGAGTCCTGGAGTGAAGGAAGAATGGAAAGGCATGGAGACCAAGCTGGGGTTGGGGGTGCATCTTAAGGTTTGTATAGGGGAAGGGAGCATCAAGTGGGGCCCCAGATCATTGAATCATTGGATCATGTGTAGTTCAGGAGCTCATGAGAAGAGGAAATGGTTGAAGGACCGTGGAGTCTTAACTTCTCTGTTGAAGCTGACACAGAGGTGGCCAGGCGCAAGGGGGGCAGCCAGGGAAGGTGGGGTCCCAGCCGGGCCTGGCCCTTTAGGGCTGACACCCACCGCTCTGAGCTTCAGTTTCCTCATGTGTCAAGCAGCAGGAGTCATAGCAGTAGCATTAGGTGGGACTGGCTTCGCTCTGGGGCTGGACTTGTCTCACATTTCATCACACCCTGGCCTTGGGGACCCTGAGCTTTCCTGTTCCCCCAGGCAGATGTGTTGTCTGTTAAAGGCAGGTTTGGGTTCTGGGAAGGCGTGGACACCCCCCCTCCCCCAGCCAGACCATTTCCCAGGGGCATGGAGTTGCCCACAACTGCAGGAATGGCCTAGGGTGCTCCAACCTCAGGCCCCAGGGCAGCCTAGGAGAGGTGGGGAGTGCAGGAGGAGGGTGCAGGCCCGAGCTGGATTGGATCCTCCCCTCAGCCCCCTCCCTGCACCACAGGTGAGTTGAGAATGGGATGCAGATTTCCCTGACTGTCAGGGGCTCTGGCTCCCTACGATGGCCAGCAGAGCTGGGGGAGGCATCACTGGCACGAGAAGACCCTGCCTTGTGAGGGTGACACAGAGCCCGGTGTCACCCAGTCCAGCTTATAATCACCCTTTTATGTTGCTGGACCTCGTGGGCACACAAAGCTCAGGACCATGTGACCTGCCACCCAGCATCTGCTTGTCCCCTGTGAGCACAGCGTGGGAGCCCCGGGAGGCAACCTGAGAGCATCCAGGCCCCCACCCAAGCTCATGCCCCAGCTAGGGCAGCCTCTGGAAGCCCCAGTTCTTCCTCCAGCCTCTGTGCAAAGCACATGGGACCAGATGTCCTGAAGAAAGGTGTGACTTAGTCGATGGGTGGGGATGAGGGTCAGGAGCCATGCTAATGATGGCAGTACTAAGTCCAGGCATGTGTGCAAAGTCCCCTGGGCAGAGGACACAGTCATGCAAAGGTCCTGGAGTAGAGGACAGAAACTGTTCAAAGGCCTCAGGACAGAGAACACAACTGTACAAAGGTCCAGGCAACCATGCTGGCCAGGTTGGGGGTGATAGGATGGTTCTTGCCTTTTTGGGGGACCCAGGGCCATCTTGGATAAGTCCTTCAGGGAGGACTAGGGTATAACAGACCTGGAACTTCCTGTTTGTAGGGGTTTTCTGTGGTCTTCCTCAGTTATTCTGTCTGTTCCTGTGATCCCATGTCCGCAGCAGGCCTAGGGGCAGGCAACTTGGGATCCTGAGGGTGGGACTGGAGTGGCCTTCTTTATTAGCTGGGCAGGGCTAGAACCTCCCGTCCACATGCCCCAGGTGGACATTACCCAGGTGACCCCCCCAGGCCTCGTAGGGTTTGGGGTATGGTGGCCATGGTCAGCCTGTCTCGTGGGGTTTGGGGTATGGTGGCCATGGTCAGCCCGTCTCGTGGGGTTTGGGGTACGGTGGCCATGGTCAGCCCGTCTTGTGATCCTTCCTGTCCCTACCCTCCATCCTGTGTCTTAGGGGCCCAGGGTACATCTGTCCACCTGCTCGCAGTGGTGTGTGCAGTCTCTGTGGGGGCCGGGGGGCATTGCCTGTCATGTTTGTGGGGGTCTTGGTCAGGGTCACCCAGAGAGGCAGAGAGGCACTATGCTGGATAGCTTCAGTGTCAACTTGACACCCCTGGGTTGGGGGAGCCTCAGTTGGGGAATTTCCTTCATTGGAGTGGCCTGTGGCCATGTCTGTGGGGCGTCTTCTTGATTGTTGAGTGATGTGGGAGGGCCCAGCCCACTGTGGGTGGTGCCACCCTTGGGCAGGTGGGCCTGTGTTGTATACGTAAGCAGGCTGAGCAGGGGCCAGGGGAGCAAGTCAGTAAGCAGTATTCCTCCATGGCCTGTGCTCCAGCTCCTGCCTCCAGGTTCCTGCCCTGAATTCCTAATTGTAACCTGGGAGATGTAAGCTAAATAAACCCTTTCCTCCACAAGTTGGTACTGGTCAGTGTTTTGTCACAGCGATGGAGAACAGACCAGGACAGGCACTGAGGAGTGTGGTGTGCACTGCCTGCTTGGCCCTGCCCCGCCTACACCAACCTCACCTGTCCGGTCTCACTCCAGTGTTCCTCTGAGGCCTCAGCTTGTGGACTATGTGCAGACCTACTTCATGGCCTGCGTGAGGAAGTCGGGGCTTCCTTATCTCAGAAATTTGACTGTGTGTCTCTGGTCTGTGTACCTGTGGTCTGACTGTGTGCTTATCTCCAGCCCCATCTTCAGCCTTTCCCTTCTGTGACCCCTCTCTGCCCTGCGCCGTGACCCAGTCACCACAGGCCCTGCCATTGCCTGGAGCCATCCTGGGCGAGGCGACCACAGTGGGGTATTTTGGGAGACAAAAATCACAGGGTCACCCTTTAATTATGAACTGTCTCCTCCCTGTGGTCACAGCTGGGACCCCTCCCTGTTGCCATCTTCCTTGTACCCCAGTCTCTGTGCTGGCTTTAGGTAGGGGGAGCTTTGGGGTTCAGGACACAGGCCAGTCCTGGGTTCAAGGTGTGCCTGCATGTGGTTACAGGGAAACCCCATCTCAAAAAGACAAAAAAAGCTGAATGGCTCTGGCTGTCACTGTGGGGATACTTGTCCCTGTCCTGAAGGTTCTGTCCCGTGCCCTCCTGAGTCCTCCACTTCCTAATCCCGTCTTCTTCCACCTGTGAGTTTCCAAGGCACACACTGCATGGACCTGGCACTTTCTCTGCCCATCTCCCCATGACCACCCTGCCCTTCCAGGGAGGTTCTGGGTCCTACATGCAGCTCCCCTGCTTGACTGTCTCCACAGACACTGTGCCTGCTGAAGGCCTGCCGTGTCTCCCTGAGGCTTGGGGGGACCGTCCCCTGCCAGGGAGGAGGCCAAGGCCAAGACAAGCATGGCCACTGCCTGGAATCCCAACATGGTGACCCTGCTGGGTCCCCTGGGCTTGTTCCTGCTCTTGCTGGCCGGAGGAGGCGCTGCAGAAGGTAAGAGGCAGCATGGAGACAGGTTGCATGTTCCCTGGTGTGTGTCTGTTTCTGGGTATGCATGGGAATACTTCTACACCCCAGGACTTCCCTGCTGTACCAAACACAGGAGAGCTCTGGGGGCTGGACATCAGCAATGACGTTGCTCAGAGAGTAACAGTAAGTTGAGCCTTCAGGGCTGAGCACACCAGGGAGAGCCAGGATAGGCTTTGCAGGACAGGACACAGGTGCTGGGGTTTTGTGTGTGTATAGGCGTTTGCTGGCATTGATGGAGTTGATGGACCACAGGAAGGCCTAGAAATAAAAGAGGTCAGTGTAGCTTAAAGATGGACAAAACAGTATTTTTTCCTACTGTTAAGATGAAGACTCTGGGGAGTTCAGGTTTGGCCTGACACCAAGACCCCGTCCTCTTATGAGAGACTAGCCAGTGAGAGGCCTTGGAGGGAGTAGAAGGGCTGTCCCTGTTGCTCCCCATGCTGAGACTTGGGACTTGTTTGTTTTTGTGGTACTCAGGACAAAGAGATGGCTTCTGGAAAGAGCTTGTGCAAAGGTCCTGGGGCAGAGACACAGCTGTGCAAAGGCCCTGGGGCAGGATGGAGCCTGGGGAGTTGAAGGAACAGCAAGGAAGCCCTTGTATCTGGAGCAGAGCAAGTGAGGGGCGGGGTGGGGGCAGTAGGGAGGATAGGGCAGGACCCTCTGGGCTGAAGAGAGGGTATGTGAGCTTTTGACCCTGAGGGAAGTAGGAGCCATGGGGGGTCATGTGCAGAGGAGGGAACTGCTGGTGTGCACAGGTACCCCCTGGCTGCTGGGGGCTCCAGGACAGGTGCTGGGGACTAGGGAGATGGAGTGAGCTGGTCTGAGTGGCCAGGGACAGTGTAGCCCAGGATGAGCCCCCAGCATAGCCGATGTGCTTGCTCATGGCTGCATGTAGTTATCTGTTTTTTACTGTGGGTGATAATATCACAGAGATTTGAACGCAGGTCTTTTTGTCTAAGACTGGGGTGTGGGATGCCAGAAAGTGTATATAGCTGGTGTCCCTTCACGGGCACTCAGGAGCCATGGGAACCATGGCTGGCTCTGGCAGCTTTGACAGAGGTGACTGTGGGTGGATGCAGGGCAGCTTCTCAGGCTGCCATAGGGCTGACCTGGGGGAGGAGGGGTGTGGGGGAGCCAGTGCAAGTGGGTCCCAGGCTCTGGCTGGTCCTAGGCTTTGGCGTTAGATACTTTTATAAACTGAAATGGAAAACAGAAGCCAAGCAGCCTCCACAGCTTCTGCATGACTCCATCTCCACTCTGAGCTTCAGTCTCTTAAGAGATGGGGGCATCAAGTCCCCTTCATCCTGGGTGCATTGTGGGAGCCCCTGGTCTGCCCTCATGGGCCCTGAGGTGGTTTTTCTCTTTTGGAACATAGATGGGGCTGGTGTGTGCACTAAGCCAATTCTGGGAACTTCGGGAGATTTTATAAGTTGCCTGCCAAGGCAGAGCCAACTCTGTGGGGCAGGCCAGGGTTCCAGGGCCCACCTGGGTAGGTGTCAGCACAGGGGCCAGGGACATCCCGTCAAGTGTCCCTGCAGGAGTTAACAGGAGCAGGGCCACTCGGAAGGGGAGGGGAGGGGAAGCTGCTCAGTGCTCTGGGGAAGGGTCTGCTCTGTTTATAGCCGTGAAGGAAGGTAGTTGGAGAGATGCTGGGTCCTGTAAATGGCAGAAACATTCCAGAAGATTGTGGCAGAGTCCGTGGGCCCTTGCCCTCCATCAACCCACTGTTGCTTGCCTGTGTTGATCAGTGTTGAGTGCTCACCCTCTGCCTCTCTCAGTGTTTTGTCAGCTTGTTTGTTTTAGACAGGGTCTCCCTGTAGCCCCAGCTGGTCAGGAACTCACCATGTAGCCCAGGCTGGCCTCAGTGTCACAGAGATCCACCTGTCTCTGCCTCCCAAGTACTGGGATTAAAGATGTGTGCCATTATGCCCAACTTTTTTTGTTGTTGCTGTTTCCTTTTCTCTTTTGTGTGTGAGTGCACCTGTGCATGCCATGCTCTTGGAGGCTGAAGAGGCATCAGATCCCTAGAGCTGAAGTTACAGACAGTTGTTAGCTACCATGTGGGTGCTGGGATTTGAACTCAGGTCCTCTGCAAGAACAGCCAGTGCTCTTAAGCACTGAGACAGCTCTCTAGCCCCTAAACTATCACTTATGAAAACTCTCAGGTGTGCAGGCTGCTTCCCCCGGCCCATGGAGCTCTGTTGCAGCTCTCCCCATCTGGTATCTGCCGAGGGGTATCCCTGGGGGTGACAAGGTGACACAAAGCAGCCAGTGAGGACACGGACAGAGCTCACCACCCCTCCTGCCACAGGAGGCAGAGCCAGCAAAGCACAGTCAGGACTGCAGCTGGGCGCTGAGAGGCATCCTCAGACTTGTCCAGCCAGGCCAGATGAGGCTGTTTAGGTTGGTGGCCAAGCAGACGTATGTGTCTGACCAGGTGCCTTCCCACACCTGACACCCTCTTCTTGCCACTCTCCAGAGCTCTGCATTAGAGTGCTGGCTATAACTCACCTTTTATTTTTTATTATATGTTATTTTTATTTTATGTGTATGAGTGTGTTGTCTGCATATATGTAAGTGCACCCGTGTTATGCAGTGCCTGGAAGAAAGTATCACATCCCCTGGAACTGGAGTTATGGATGGTTGTTAGCCACCATGCGGGTGTTGGGAACCAAACCCAGGTCCTCTGCAAGAGCAGCCAGTGCTCTTAACACACATATACACAAATAAATATAATTTTTTTTGTCTTATTGAGACAGGGTCTCCTTGTAGCCCCAGCTGTCCTGGAACTCACTTTGTAGACCAGGCTGGCCTTGAACACACAGAGATCCGCATGCCTCTGCCTCCCAGGTGCTGGGATTAAAGGCGTGCGCCACCACGTCCAGCCTCCCACTGACTCATTTTTTAAGTTTGTATTTATTTATTGTGTTATTTATTAACTAGTCCATGCATGTGTGTATGCCCATGTGCCACAGTGCATGTGTGGAGATCAGAGGACAACTTTCAGGAGTCGGTTCTCACCTTCTGCTTTGTGAATCCTGGGAAGCAACCTTGGGTGTCAGGCTTGGCTGCAAACCTCTTTACCTGCTGAGCCCTCTTGTCAGCCTTTGACATAGTTTGTGGTCACTCCCCATAAAGAGATTAGGCCGAGTTATGTTGTTCTTATATTTTGGGAGTGATTCATGGTTTAGCAGGTCATCACTAGGGACCCCAGAGTCTCTGAAGGACCCTGAGTCTGGGTGAGTGTGTCGGGCCAGGCTGTGTACATGTGTGTGAAGTGGGGAGGGTGTTCAGGGCCCCAGATGCCCACAGGTGCTCTGGGTGCTGTGGAGGGTTCTGTGGGATCCCAGCCACATGCCAGGATGACCCTCCAACCTCCCCTCCTTCTGAATCCCCAGAGCCACCCAGGTTTATCAAGGAACCCAGAGACCAGATTGGAGTGTCGGGGGGTGTGGCATCGTTTGTGTGCCAGGCCACCGGTGACCCCAAGCCCCGGGTGACTTGGAACAAGAAAGGCAAAAAGGTCAACTCGCAGCGCTTTGAGGTGAGTGGGGGCTCGGCCTGCACCATCCCCCATGCCCTTCTCTCATGTGCTTATCCCCCATGTGCAAGTCCTTTGGTTCCAAGGCCCACTCTGTGCTGTGTCCTGAGGCAGGGCCCTGCTGTCTCTGAGCCTTCACTCATAACACTGCCACATCTAAACACATGTGATCACTCAGAGCTCCTCATCCCTGTAAAGAAAATGTGTGTGCAGCAGCCAGGCTTCAGGCTCAGCTGGATCTAGGCACTCGGTCCATGTCAGGGGGTTCATGTCTCTGTTTCTTTCTCTCTCTCTCTCTCTCTCTCTCTCTCTCTCTCTCTCTCTCTCTCTCTCTCTCTCTCTCTCTCTCCACCTTTTATTCCACATTGAACCCCCACCTTCACATACATCTGCACCTGCACACACATGGACACCTTTCGCTTGTATGTATCCAGGCCCAGGTTTCTGCTCAAACACCCACTTGTCTGGGGTGGCCAGCAGCCCCATCATCACAGAGCATCCCCATGGGGCTCTCCCTCCATAGAGCCCTCTCAGGACTCCAGCCTCACCCTGCCTCTCTGCTGGCCCTCCACAGACCATCGAGTTTGACGAGAGCTCGGGTGCCGTGCTGAGGATCCAGCCGCTGCGCACACCCCGAGACGAGAATGTGTATGAGTGCGTGGCCCAGAACTCGGTTGGGGAGATCACGGTCCATGCCAAGCTCACGGTCCTCCGAGGTACTGGCTCCATGGGCTGCACAGAGGAGGGACAGAGGCCTGGTCAGTAATTCTGACATCTGGCAGATGCTCAATGTTCTGAGGAATTCTCTCTCTGCCTCTTGCCTTTAAAAAAAAAATTATTTCTTTATTTTGGTTTTTTTTCTCCCACATCAACTTAGTCCTTGGTGATATTTTTTGGCCCCCAATTAGCTTGAGTCACAAGTGCCACCCCACCCCCTTCCCAGCTAACTTCTGTGACTCAGAAAAAAATACCAAATAAGTCTGGATCTCACCTGGACCACAGGTGGATTGGTCCCCACAGGTGAGGTTGATGAAAGGCCCCAAAGTGGGTCCAGCTGCCCACTCCCTACCCACACACTTGCCCCACCCCTGTACCCCTGGCTGGTCCTGCTACCGTGTTCTGAGGGGCACTGAGCTTTTTCTTCCATGAAACACTGGACCTTTAACACTAGGGCTGTCTGACTCAAGTTCAAATCCTGAGACTGCCCCTTGGCAGCTTTGTGACCCCAGGCAGGTTCCTGAACCTCTCTGAGCTGAAATTCCCACAATGATCCACATTGTGCTTGTAAGCTGGGAGGCTGCCCTGCACCCTGGACAGATATGCAGGGAGTGTTGAAGTGGCTGGCCTGGAGCCTGGGGAGGAGTGTCTTGGGGTCCCTGGGGCTCCCACACGAAGCTGGGCTGATCAACCAGGCAGCAGACCTGCAGAGCCACCCAGTCCCTCCTTCCCTGTCAAAGATCCTCTGTGTGGTCTGGAAATTCTTCATCATCTGTAACAAGGGGCCCCACATGGGTGGACCTGTCAGTCACAAGGGGGCCCCTCCTCTCTGGATATTTTTTGCCTGACCTTTCCCTGCCACAGATGGGCAGCTAGCTCCTGCTGCCCGATGCCAGCCTATCAGTGCTGCCAGACTTCAGAGCCCATATCACACAGCCATGACACTCTAAACTCTGGGAGTCCAAGAGAAGGCTCTCCTGTCCCCTCGAGCCCCATAGGCCTAGCTCTCCAGCCCTGGGTGGCCCAAGCTGCACCTCCTGCCCCATCTGGGCTGCCATAGCCCTGTCCACGGCACACCTCCACAGTGCTGCTTTAATTAAACTCCAAGGAGTCGGACACAGTGTGGTACTTGGTGAACATTTTTGTTCAACTAGAGGTTCTCTATGGCATCAGGTGGCTGTGCCCTTCCCACTTCCCACTCCCTGGCTGGCCACTGCTGGCCACATACATGCTCAGCAGCTGGGAGCTATGTGGACATGCATAGTAACCTGCTGTGTCTTGGCTCTGTTCCCTGGGGTGGCAGCTTCGTTTTTTTCTTTTTCTTTTATTATTTTTATTTTACGCGTCTGAGTCTTTTGCCTGCATGTATGTAAGTGTGCAGTGCAGTGCCCGCGGAGGCCAGAAGAGGGCGTCAGATCCCCTGGAACTGCAGTTGTTAGCCGCCATGTGGGTGCTGGGAACTGAACCCAGGTCCTCTGCAAGAGCAGCCAGCTCTTCAGCCTTTGGCTTCTTGCCAACCTCCATCCCCCTTCCCCACCTTCAGAATGCTGTCTGTCACTTACTCCCAAACACCTGGGTGTCGCTCCTCTCATGGGTACCTAAGAAGCCAGACTTCTTCCTCCAAATACCAGAGAGTAAAAACGTTTGTCCCCAAAGGCCAAACATTGAAAACCGATTTCAAAGTCTTACCAAGAAACCTGCCCCAGACCACAAGAAAGCAACGTACCTGGGGCCATGTGCCAGTGAAACTTTATTAACACCAACAGGCCAGGCTGCAGTTCAAGGCCATCTTTTCTCTTTGAATGTAGCCAGTTAAAGACATGTCTTGTACTTGGCCGCCATTGGAGGATCCAGTGAGCCCTGTCCTTGGCTCCTGCATCCTGTCCATCCATGGGTAGCACAGGGCCCCTGGCCATGATTCCAACTGTCCCTGTGTTTAGTTCCCCTGTGCCACATGCTGGGGACTCCACAGTGACACACATGTATCTTGACAAAGTGGGTTTGATGATTTGGAGAAGACAGTTGGTTTCTGGGACATTCTAGAGGTGTTATAACAAGTTTGCTGGTTCCGGGGGCTGTTTGGATAAGGGGGCAGAAGTGGGAACAGAGTCCAGTTTGAGGGGTGCACATGGCAGCTGCAGATGGCCTGGGAGAGCAGTGGGTGACAGGGACGGTGGGAAGGTTGGGACCGCTCTCGCTGGCCTCATTGGGGTGCTGAGCAGTACCTCATCTCCTCTAACCACAAACATCCCTGATGCCTCAGTACCTCTGGGAGCCATAGAGAACGGTAGGAAGAGGGTGTCCCTGTGTTTCCCCTGCACCAAGAAGCGCGGGGGCTCTGAGTGGAGCTTATAGCAGGACCCACGTCACCAGCTGGGCCCGGAGCCTGGAGCCCAAGACACCCTGATCCCATCCCCCTTTCCTGTCTCTACCACCCAACAGAGGACCAACTGCCACCTGGCTTCCCCAACATCGACATGGGCCCACAGCTGAAGGTTGTGGAGCGCACACGGACAGCCACCATGCTGTGTGCTGCCAGTGGGAACCCCGATCCTGAGATCACCTGGTTCAAGGACTTCCTGCCTGTCGACCCCAGTGCCAGCAATGGGCGCATCAAACAGCTGCGATCAGGTGGGCACAGGTGTCTGGCGCCTCTCTGGGGCCCACAGAGGGCCTGGGGGGCCTGGCTGGCATTGACAGAGGTATGGACTGAGGAAGAAACTTGGAGCTGCATTTGAAGAGATGTGAGGGTATACATGGGCCTTGGCAGCTGAGCCATGGGAGGAGCAGAAGAATTTGGGGGGTTATTTTATGTGTATGAGTGTTTTGCTTGCATGTATGTAAGTATACCCAAGTCATGCAAAGCCCACGGAGGTCAGAAGAGGGTGTGAGATTCTCTGGAACTGGAGTTGGAGTTACAGACAGTTGTTAGCTGCTATGTAGGTGCTGGGAACCAACCCCGGGTCCTCTGCAAGAACAGCCAGTGCTCTTTACAGGGCCACTGGGGAGGAAAGTTCTTGAACACTGACTATGGCGAAATGGTACATGAAGCCGTAGGGAACCATAGCAAGCTGCTGGGGAGAGTGTCCCCAGCATGGTGCTGTGTGGAGAGCAGGGTCGCCAGGAGGCGGGGCAGGAGGACACTGAGCACAGATGCCCCCCAGAGGGTACATGGCAGGCTGGTTTGCCAGGGGAATGGGGGACTGGAGGGTGGTGGTGGGGGATGTCATCTGTGCTCAGCCAGAGGCACAGGCTGGGGTTCAGCAGGGCTTGGGACCCTCAAGGCCAATGGTAGGTGGGGGCATGAGGGGTGGGGTGCTAGACCAAAGTCCACCATGACCAGGAGCCAAGAAAGCTTTGGGGACAGCCTGAGTTTGGCTGTTCCAGCTCTGGCTGATCTGGAGAGATCTTGGGACAGAGCCCAAGCCTTGGCAACACAGGGGACAAAGTTCATGGGTTGTCTCAGTATAGGACTCATGTGACTCTGATGGCCCTCACTGATGGACTCAGTGAGTCCATCCGTCCATCTGCCTGTTCATCTGTCTGTCTGGGCCTCAGGTGTGCCCTGTCACTTGTCCTTGTATCTCGTGACATGTCCATGTGCACGTGGCTCCCCGAGTGGCCAACCCTGCCTCCTGCATTCAAACACACGTGTGTCCTCATCCTATTCCTGCCACGTTCCCATGCACATACTTGTCTACTTATCCCTCTCTGGAGACACATGTGTCAGCTGGAAACTGCAGGGCCCAGTGGTCCCATGTACGCCAGTGTCCCTGGAGCTCCACATGCAAACAGCTCCTCCCCCCTAACTGCTAAGGACCCACCTCAACAAACACCCTCCTGGCACCACTTGTCACCCCCCCCATGGCTCTCCCACTCAGACTCCTCCCCACAGTCACCTGTCCATGACTGAGTGCTCTCAACACTGCCTGCGAACTGCCATGGCCCTGTAGTCTCTCCACCTCCCTCCCCTGCCATGGCCATCCGTTAACCCACCTCTTCTCTCTTCTTGTTCCCCTGACGCTCAGAAACCTTTGGTAAGTCTGACTTCTCCCCACGTCAACCACTAATGCCAGTCCTCCCTCTGCACCACACTAACGGCCACTGTGACAGTAACGATCCACTGTGTGGCATGTGTACTAACGCTCCTGCCTGCCCGCCAGCCCCACAGTGGACTTCAGACAGACCCCACCCAGAAGGAAAAGAGGAAAAGGGCCCACAGACCTCCCAGTGGGGCCTTTGGGCTGCAGGGCCTCACCACCCATAGACCCCTGCTGCTTTCTGGGCTTCAGCAGGTGGGAGAAAGGCTTTGATACCAAAGACCAAAGCTTCCCTCCCCATGTTCTGAAACCCACTGCTGGGCTGTCTTACTAAAGTGAGAGTGACTGATACTAGCATGGGCCTGGGCTCTGCTACAGCCCACCTCCAAGAAAGGAAAGAAAGGGAAGTTCTTGTCAGTCCGTACCAGCCATGGTGTTCCAGCTCTGACTCCTCCCATCAACCTAGATTCAAGCTCTCCAAAGTGTGCCTATCAGCGACTTTCTTGTGGCTTCCACAAAAAGTGGGCAGAGAGGCCTGAGGAAGACAGGCTGTCTCTCTAAGGAGAGCATGGGAATCATGGAAGGTTCAAGACACAGGGTTCCCTCAGACCAGGAGGCTCAAAAACTGGAGTCAAAGTCCCCACCACCCTGAGCTGCCTTTGGTATCAGTTTACCCATCTGTGCAATGGGCCTGGTCTGGCACGTACAGCTGCAGCTCCAGCTTGGGTCTTGAGGTCACTTTGGCCCAGCAACTGACCAACCATCGGCAGCAGAGACCGCGTTGGATGGTCCCAACCCGGAACCGCCTTTTCCCATTTCCCTGTGTTTTCTTATCATCCCTGGCCCAGATCAACACAGAACTGCACCTGTGGGCTGGGGCGTGCCCAACCCGGGGACTACATTTTCCTCTTTTCCTTCGGGAGTTGAAGAAGGCCAGGGCCTCCTGTCCCTGTCTCCCTTCCCACCCCTTCGGCCTGTTGGTGACACCAGACCCCGCTTCCCCAGTACCTCCAGCGCTAACGCCTCTTCTGCTCCCCCCTCTTCGCTAACAAGGATCCTGAGACCCGATTGCTCCCCATCCCTCCCCATCTGGATTTCAGATGCCCCCAAAATGGACCAAAAGGGGAGGCCATTACACCCAGGACTAGATGTTCCTACAGTGCCAGTGCTTTTAGACCCCTTGTGGCCAGGCAGCCCCCTGGTGAGATGCAGAACCCCAGTGCGACCTTAGGAGGCACCCAGTGCCCTTGGCCAGCTGCCGTACCCCCATGCAGGTGGAGGGGACAGGCCTGGCTTTTGGCCCCCTGGCCTCTGCCCCCACACCCGCCTCATTGTTCACTGTGTGTCTCTGCTTCCCTTACAGAAAGCACTCCTATCCGAGGTAAGAGGTCTGCTCCCACCCGGCGCCCTCACCTCTACTGTCCCCAGCACTCGAGTCCTTTCCCCCTCCCCCGCCTTCCTCTGGTGTCTGTATCTGTGTGTGGCTTGTACCAAGTGTGGCCAAGGGGGACCCTGTGGGGTGTCCAGCTGTGAGGGACTCACGCCATCTCTTGTGTCCACTCAGTGCACAGCCCTCGTATCCACAGCCATCCATGCAGTAAGCTACTGAAGGAAACTTCTAGGTGTGTGAGACCAAGGTATTGATCCCGGCAAGGATCAGAGACAGGATTCTCAGAAGCTGGTGGACCCCCCCCAACTCCCCCAGGGAAAAGACAAAAAGAGTGTGTGTCATGCGGTGTGGGCCCCGAGCAGACTGTACCCTCTGTGGTCCCCACAACCATCCTTGCCTCAGAGGGAAGCAGGAAACAGTGAGGTGGTAACATCAGCTCCAGGCTCAGCCCCTTCACTAGCAGGAACAGCTGTCAGCACAGCCAGTAAGTGAGAACCAGGGTCCTGGACTCCAGGTGCTGGTGTCTGGGAGCCCTGGATTTCCAGAACACACGCTCCCTCCAGAGCTGGCACTGGCACTGGCAGGCCTGTGGTTCAGACACTCAGCCGTGCTTGCTCACGGTTGTTCTTCTGTAGAAACACGTTCTTGTTAGGTTGGTTTTTTTTTTTTTTTTTTTTTTTTTTTTTCTTGATATGCAGCCCTCACTGGCCTGGTACATAGCTAAGGATTGCTTCGGTCCTCTTTCTTAACCTCCCAAGTACTGGAATTGCAGGTGTGTGCCACCTTACCTGCCTCAGCCAGCATGTTTCTTAGAAAACAGGTCATCCTGGAACTTACTGTGTAGACCAGGCTGGCCTTGAACTCAGAGATCCACCTGCCTCTGCCTCCCAAGTGCTGGGATTAAAGGTGTTTGCCACCACACCCGGCCCTCTTGTTGGGTTTTTGAGACAAGACCTGCTAACCTCTGTAGCCCAGGCTGGCCTGGAATTTCAGCCATCCTCCTGCCTTGGTCTCCCCAGTGCTGGGCTTTGACAGAACCTCAAACACTCAGGGGACTCCCTCCCATCACCTGTGGGCACCAGGGCCCAAATCCCAGCCTTGGGTTCTAACCAGAGCTTACGGCTTCAAACTGCCAGTGCGTTTAGCTCCCGACACCCTTCAACTTAGCTGCAAACCTAAAATCCCAAACCGCTTCAACGAAATCGAAGCCATTTCATTGACTCAGAGGCTTCAAGAACCTTTGCACCCTGATTTCAAACACAGTTGAGCAGAGCCAGGTATGGTGGGGCATGCCTTTAATCCCAGTACTCAGGAAGCAGAGGCAGGCGGATCTCTGTGAGTTCAAGGCCAGCCTGGTCTACATAGGAGTTCTAGGCCAGCTGGGGCTGCAGGGAGACCCTGTCTCAGAAAGACCAAACACATGAGGGAAGTACAGGAGCAGGGCGCAGGTCGTTCAGCACAGGCTGCACTGCTGCACTGCTTTCTGGACTGGGCTGGACCCGTGGACGTATGTGGTGTGCACCAGTGAACATCAGGCATAGGTGACTGTGCCCTCTCCCTACGTGAGCGTCAGTATCTGTCGCACCCCACGATGTGTTGCGGTCCTCTGCTTGTCATTGCATCCAGCAGGGGGCCCATCCGGGATTGCTGTGTGCCAAGACCAGCGAGGGGTGAACTTGGGTGGGGTTGGGTGAGTCGGGCACCGGCCAAACCCACCAGGAGCTGGGCCAGGCCTCACTGCCACCGAGGTCCCGCCCTCTGGCCAATCTGGTCCCCTGTCCCCACAGGTGCCCTGCAGATCGAGAGCAGCGAGGAAACCGACCAGGGCAAGTACGAGTGTGTGGCCACCAACAGCGCTGGCGTGCGCTACTCCTCACCGGCAAACCTCTACGTGCGAGGTAGGGAGCTCCGCCACGGCCAGAGGCAGGGACCCCCAGGGCCCCCCCCCCGCCCCCCCCCCGGGCTCACGGCCTCTGGGCTCCCCCGTTCCCCGGGCACCCGAGCCGGGGCCCCGTCCCCAGTCGCAGGCAGACATCGGAATAGCAGTCTCCCTGCGTGGCCCACGTCTCTCGTGGGCTGTGGGACTGGGGTGCAGTGGTGGCAGAGTCGGTGGGAGCAGGGCTGGGTGGGAGGCCAGTCTTGGACCTACAGGGCCGGGGGAGCCTGAGCGCCCACTGCCCATCCCGTCCGTGCGTTCCAAGTGGCTTGTGTGGTGTCTGCTCCCATGTCCTGCTGGCTTGGCTTCTCTGATCCTGTGGTCTCGTGACCCCCGCTTCACCCCCGTCCAGTGCCCTCACCTTAGACTTGGGGGGATGGGGGTCTCCAAGCTATCCCCTCCCACCTAGCATCCCAGAACCCAGAGCTAGAAGGGACAAGCTCTGACCTGCAAGAGGTTGAGGCCATGGCTCACTCACGTCCCCGTGGCTTGATGGCGAGAAATGCCATGGGCTGTGGGACCCCATATGAGTCCCCAAATCCTGGGCTTGTTCAGTTGTGCCTAGAAGCCCAGGGTCCTTGACCACCAAAACCCCAGTTTCCTCCTCAGGAGGCATCACCCCAGCCCCTGTGGTCCCCTGGGGGGCCTGGAATCCCCCCCAACCTCCTGCCTCCCTTGGGCATCCCGGGGACCCCAGTCCACTTGTAGACACAGCTTCTTTCCCAGCCTCAGTTTCCCCCATGTGATGCCCCTGCCCTAGTCCCTGTCCACTCGGGGAAGCCGGCAGGCCATCCCTCCCCCGCCACCCCCCCCACTGCCTTGTCCCACCCTGTACCCCTGTACCCTAATCCACCCGCTCGGTCCCAGGCTCTGAGCAGGAGGCTGTGTGAGGGAGGGGATTGGGCATGGGTGGTGGGTGGGACCATGCATCAGCCACCACAGCACCTGGTGAGTTGGGACACCCAGGACTTGACGTCCTTCACGTGACCTTGTCGCTGGACACTGGGATGGGACGGGTGTGAGTCCGGCAGGAGAGAGGCAGGGGTGGGATGAGGGAGGAGCCTGGAGTGTGGGTGCCAGGGTCCCGGCCAAGCCCGCCAACCCTGGGGGGCAGGTGAAAGTTGGACCCAGGTTCGACACTTTGAAATCGAACGTAGGAAGGGAACCGAGGTGGATAGAGCATTGGTCTTATGTGTTGAGGGCCGAGCAGAGGAAAGGAAGTGGAAAAAGGTCTTTACTGTTCTTTTTCTTTTTTAATTTTACTTTTTTTAAAAATTTTTTTGGTTTAAATAAAAAAGCAGACTATTGCAGCTGTGGGCTTGGGAAGGCCTCTTTTTACTCTCTGTATCTCCCCTATTTTTTTCTCCTCTCCCATGTCATTGTGCGCATCAAACCCCCTTACATCCCTCAGAGCTTCGAGAAGGTTGGTGTGGATTTTTCTTTTTTACTTTCTTTACCCACATTTTTACACTCCGAAAAAAGACACACACACAAGAAACACACGCAGACACCGTGCAGACACACGCAGACACGCATATGGAAACAAATAGAAAACCAGATGTTAACTGGATACGGAAAACGCCAACAAAACAAAACCGCCAAGTGAGAGCAAAAAAATACCCAGAAAGACACACAAAAATTTGTAACGCCAGCCGCGCCCGGCCCGGCCCAGGCCGGCGCACACGTGCGATGCTTGCATTGTGGTCGCCTCTGCATCCTGGGAATGTCGTTGCTAAGTTTTTTGCACTCCTCGTCGTCATGGTAACTTGGGCCTGATGCATGCTGGGAGAATGTCAAAAAAAAAATTTTTTTTCTCTGCATGCTCCTCTTGTCAGTTTGGTGAATCCCTGGCCGTTGATAGAGTGTTTTTTGTCTTTCGTTTCTTTCTCTCTTTTTTTCTTTTTTTTCCTTTTTTTTAATTTTACATTTTTATGTTTTGTTTTGAGGGGAAGTGGATTGGTTCCCCTGCATTCCCTTCCCTGACAGCCTCCCCCACCGCGACTGTGCTTGGTCCTGTCTGTTCCTGTGCTGTCTGGTTTTTGGTTTCTTGGATTGAGCTGTCCTGTGGTCGCTCTCCTGATGCATCGTGACCTCAAAGCCAGTGTTCCTGTCCCCACCCTCGTCAGGGGGTGAAGGGTCCCACAGCCAGGGTGCTGGGCCAGAAAGTGACCACAGAGTCTCCCAGTGGGGAGGAAGGAGGCCACATGAAGAGCTGCCCAATTACCGCATTTCCCTGGTGAGCCCTGTTATCCACAGACCTGGTGCCTGTGTCCCTTCTCTGGGCAGCCAGGTCAGAGGGATGCCTATAATGACATTTTCTCAGTCTTCTGCTATAGCATCATCATAAAACACCCACCCTCCCAAATAACCAAAAAGTAACAAATTAGGTGTCTGAAGTATAGCCAGAGGGAGCAAGCCAGCATAAAGATGGAGTGGGCCTGTCCCAGCACACAGTGCTGGCCCTGGTGCCAGCCTCATGTGCACCCCTAGGCTTGGGTCTGGACCTGCCCATCCAAAAATACAGGAAAAAGCCAGTGTGGTCAACCCCAGGGTGGATCCCTGGTGGCATCTGACTTGGACCACTCAGCCTCTCCTCAATGCGCCTCTCCACAAACCCAACCCCTGCAGGTGTTTTGTTCAGTATGATGTGGTCACTTTCTGAGTCACCTGAGCATCTGAGCTATGGGATTCTGGGGAAAACCCCAAGAAATTTGGACGTACTCTCTCTGTTCCCCACTCTCCCTTGGCCCCTCCCCTCTCCCTCTTTCTATCTTCTGAGACACCCCCCACTTCTCCCCAAGAAAAAGCAAACAATCCTTTAGAATCCCCCCAAATCCCATAGGAAAATAGCTTCAAGAAAAGGCCCAGGAAGTCCCTGCCCATACCCGGGCCGCCATGTGACGTCACCTCTGCTCCCCGTTACCCTGACTTCTAGGCATTAAGTCAGATACCACAAGAAGGGACCAGGGACAAACCTCCCACACACCAGAACTTGATGCGTTGAACCCAGGGATGGGGGATCACAAAGAAGCACCTGGATTTTGAGCTCAGGGGAGTCAGGGTGAGAGCACAGGCTGTGTGCGACCTGCGCTGGTCACCTAGCCTCTCGAGGTCCTCTGTACAGTTTATGACTGTCGGGTGCCCCAAGGAGAGGACGCAAGGTGGGCAGGCAAGGGCGTGAGCGGTTAGGGCGCTCCTCCCACGTACCCTGTCTAGAGAGCCAGCATGAGGACCGGGGACACAGCTCAGTGCACACTTGGGTGCTGGGTTTGAATCCAGCACCATAGAGGTGGGGGAGAGGGAGGTAGGGAGAGGAAGCCTGTGGTGATGCTGTGGAAAACAGCACAGTCAGGTGTGAACTCGCTCAGTTAGACCTCCTATATTTTTATTTTGTTTTTGTTTTTTTTGCAACAGGGGCTTTGTGTAGTTCCAGCTGGTGGCCTGGTAATCCCTATGGAGACCAGGCTGGCCTTGAACTCATAAAGATCCACCTGCCTCTGCCTCCCTAGGTGCACACAACCACACCTGGCTATTGGAGGTTTTTTATTGTCGTTGTTGTTGTTTGTTTTTGCTGTTCACTGGGAGTCCTGGGCCACAAAAGAGGGACAGTGGCCCAGGATCTGGCTCCCCCACCCTGCTAGGCCCCAAGCTGGTGCCCTGCTTCCTGTGGGGCCCACAATGCGGCCCCAGTGCTCTTGACCTGCCTTTGACCTCAGGGAACTAAATGGCCAAAGCCAAAAATACTGCCATTTTTAAATTTTGCAACTTCCAGAAGGTCCCACATAGAGCAGACTTCCTATCACATCCTCCCAGATTAAATTTTTTTTTAAATCAATTATTTAAAACTGTCAGCCTTTATGGTGTGAGTTATGAGCAGAAGCTGGCATCCTGATCCAACATGATGCCCCATGCCAGCTAAGGACAGTTCCTTCCCCCCAGGGCCCTTAGGCCCACTGGGCCTGAGGACCCTGTGCCATCCAGCTGGGTAGCCCTGGGTCTCCACACTAGCTTCCCACTTACACCCACAGCCAGCCAGAGGAGATGGCCACGCCCATGCACTCCATGACTCATGGCTGGCAGAGTCTTACAGAGGCATCCACCTTAAGCATTATGGGGAACAAGTTAGTCTTGAGTTAAATTTCTAGCACCCATGGGTGAATATAACTTCCAGGTCTCCCCAAAGTCTTGTGTCCTCATAGTGGGGGGCAGATAATGACCCAGCCTGGACCACCTCTCATTATACCCCCAACTGCTTCGATCAGGGTCTGTTGATGGCCCCAGTTCCTGCCGGCTGTGCCCCACACCCTCATCCCCAACTCCATCCTGGGGGGGCAGGCATATCAGAGAAAGCCCTAGCTACCACCCCTGTCCTGCTCTAAAGGGAGAGGAGTCGGGGGAAGCTCCCCAGGGTCAGGGGCGCAGGGCCCACTCCGCAGGAACACTGAGCACTGACACTCACACCTGCCTCGCCCTCTGCATCTCTGTCCTGTGGGGGCCGTGGCGGGTTAGATTACACCTGTCCTATGGGAGAGCCACATCTCCCATGGCCACAGCTGGGGGCCAGCCAATTGGGGGAATGTGGAGAATTAAAGAAGACAGAAGAGGTAACCCTCCAGAAAAATCCCCAAATCTAAAATAGATGGTGCTACCAAACCCACCAGTCAGCCAGACTTGAGCAAAGGGACCATGGCTTGTGTCTCTATGGCCGTGGGAGCTGGCAGTGGGATGGAGGCAGGTGAGGGTGCCGGGGTGCTGGGGTGGGGAGAGGGGCGAAGGAGTACCAAGCAGGCCGGGGTGCTTCCTCCATGGATCGCGGGGCTGGGGTTCAAAGGACGGTGTGGGAAATGGACTTTGAACTTGGGCTCTGCCCCCTCATCCCTGACAGGTGTAATCTAACTCAACCCCCCCGCCAGTCCCTGACTGCACAGCTGCTTGGCATACCCCCACTCCTGTTGGCTTCCTCATTTTGGGGTTGAAAGAGTTAGCCACATTCTTCTCTCACCCCAAAATGCTCCCCCGCGGCTTGTTTGATGGTAAATACGTGTTGACAATGTTGGCCCTCTACCCACCCCTCAACCAGGCCACCTCACTTTTTTGAGATTCCTTCCCCACTCACCCCTCTCCCTGCTCCCCACTCTCAGGCCCCCCACTTTTTATTTTTGTCTTTGCGCCTCTTCCTGCCTGGGGAGGGCTGTGCCCTGGTTGCTTTGACGGTTTTTGAGTTGGTTTAATTTCTTTTTTTGCCATGTGAATCGGGGTTTGAAGCGACCATCCCCTCCTGACCTGCCCCCCCACCCCCACCACCCACCCCTCCTGACCCCCTCGCCCACGAGGGTCCCCCCGCTGGGACCCTCCCCAGCCACTCGGTGACCAGAAGAGCTGGGGACCAGAGCCAGCTGCCGCGAGCCGAGGACCAAGGCTGGTCCCCTTATAACCGCCTGGACCCTCCTGTCAGGTCGGTAATGGTGGGTGGGGGTCCTGAGGGCCCGTCCATCCCCGGGGCTCCACGCCCACCTCACTGCTAATGACCCCCTCAGGCTCCCAGCCAAGCGATGGGAGCATGAAGTGGGTGGGCAGCCTCCCAGAACGGGGCAGAACACAGCGTGGGCCACCCGCCCCTTGGGCTGGGAGGACACGCAGGGCAGGTCATAGACACCCCCACACAGGGGTCAGGGTCACCATGAGCCACAGCACAGCCCTCTGCAAACTCATGGCAAACCAGCCCTCTTTCTGAAAGTGCAGCCTTGGAAGGTGGCGTGTGGATGAGGTAGCAGGCGGTGTTTCCTGGGTGTCCCAGAAGCCTTTGTAGCTGACTAATGTGTCTTTTTAAGCTGTCATTTAACTATAGCAGCTGGCCACTTAACTGATAATGGCTGACCACACTGGGGACAAGGAGCGTTAAGATGTCTCTCTGCTTTCTGGATCTAATGGCTGTACAGTTCAGAGCCCCAGACGGAGAAACTGTACATTCACGATGTCTGGTTTTCTCTCCACTGTAAAAGCTACATGATCTTTCTGAACTGTCCCCTCTAGGAGATAATCAGGATCAGATCAAGTCTGGGAACCAGCTCTCAGTCCTTCCAGAAGAGAGAGATTGGCTCCCTGTTTAAGCTTTAGACTCTAAAACCAGGTCCCCTTCCATGGGATCCAAGGTTCTTGGGTGGTACCTTTACTGGTGGCCCCTGGACATGCATTGTGACAGCAGAGAGACCAGCCTCTGCCCTGGCTCACTCAGCAGAGCGATACATAAGCCGGGGGTGCTTTGCTCCTTCATGTCCCCAGTGGGTAAGGACATAGCAATTCAAAGCCCCACAGTGCCAAGAAAAGTATGCACGGCTGTTGTTAGTAGTGCTCAGTGTGGGAAAGGAGACTCATATTGTGTGAGTGGTGGAGAGCTGGCCTGTGAGGCTCTCCCTTAGCCCATCACCACTCTGTCCTTCTGTCTCCTCCTCTGCAAATTAGCTAAAGGTCACATGTCTCCACATGATTGAGACGAATTAAAGGAGACAAGGACGCAGCCTTCAAAACCAGTTCCCTGACAGACTCCTTAAAAGAATTTGGGGCTGGAGAGATGGCTTAGCGGTTAAGAACACTGACTGTTCTTGCAGAAGATCCAGGTTCAAATCCCAGCACCCACATGGCAGCTAACAACTGTCCGTAACTCCAGTTCCAGGGGATCTGACAGCCTCTTCTGTCCTCTGCGGGCATTGCACAACACGGGTGCACTTTCCTACATGCAGGCAATACAAGTATACACATAAAATAAAAATAATAAATATAATAAAAAAAATAAAGAATCTAAACCAGGCATGGCAGCTCGCATCTGCCATCCCAACCCCTGGGAGCTGAGGCAGCAGAACAATTACCACCACCTAGGGGCCAGCCTGGGGTACAGAGCAAGACACTGTCTCGATAGATGGGTAGATGACAGGTGTTTGATTGATGCTATCCAGATGATTGATGGGGAGGTAGGTGATCAGTCTTACCTTCCAGCTCTGAGCAGATGTGATGCTCCTGTGCTCCGCTCTGTCCCGCAGGGTCCCTATATTGTCTGATAAGAGACCTTAGCTTCGGTTTCTGTCTGCTCTGCCTTCGTGATTGGTAGGGTGTCCTAAGAAACGGGGCTCTAGAGAGCAGATGGGGGGCTGGTTTGTCCTGAGGCTGTGTCTCAGGGGCCTTGCACCCCCAGTCTGGGGCCCCGCTGTGTTCTGGGGAGTGGGACACCTCCCTGGGAAGCCACACCCCTCCTCTGTTCAGACCCCGATTTTCAGCCCTACACCCCATTCCATGTTTTTTTCTCTTCTTGCTTTTGAATGTTGTGTTTAATTTCAGAGGATATTTGTTTGATCTTTAGATTTTTTTTTGGCTTTTTTGTTGTTGTTACCTTTTCCCCCCTCTCCCCCTCCTAGTTTTGGTTTGGACGTCAATGCCATTTTCTGTCCTGGATTAATCAGCCTCTCCACACTCATTTTCCCATTCATCCCGTTTCCATGACAACACAGCCTCAGCATCTCCCACCCAAGCCTGGCTGCAGATGCTGGCGACCGGCCTGGACCGGTCTGCTGGCGGGCTGGACCCCATCACTGACCCCTTCACGCCTCTCCTCCCCCCGCCCTGCTGGAACCACCTGCCCGTCACCCCAGCCTGCATGACCTGTGTCCCTGCCACCCAGCCCTCCCGCCCTCCATCCTGTACCCACACAACTCTGGACTTTTCCTGGGGCTACGTTTTCTGAAGGGCTCCAGCCTGGATCCCCACTCTTACCCTCAATGGCACCCCATCCCCATCTTCTGGGTTCAGGAACTAGAGTTGGAGACTGTCCAGCCAGAGGCCAGACTGGAAGGGACCAGGGTAGGCCAGCTTCTCCCCTTCTCAGTAGAGCAGTTGAGACCTTTTATAACCATACCCTTAAGGCTACACCCCAGATCTGTGTGCTGGGCAGAGGTGGGGCCTCAAGGGGTTGGCATGGCCGTTTCTCCATTAGCATAGCTTTGCTGTCCACTTAGGGTGTCGCCCTCCCCAGGCCACGTACTCATCCCATGACTTCTTTAAGCTCAACAAGGCTGTGAGGGGACTGTGCCACCCAGGGCATCTCTTCCCCACTTCCCCCAAAGGCAGACAAATGTCCCTCCAGGGACAAAACTGGTTTTCCATGCTCAGGTTCCCAGGAGCGTCCCACACACCCCACTTCCGAAAGCGCAGCCCCAAGAAATGCATCCTGCCGCCTTCCTGCTGGGTTCCTGCAGAAGGCCGCACCCACCCCTGCCCCACTAAGGAGCGCACTGAACATGCCTAGTACCCCAACGTTCCAGCTCATCATCCCTAGTATTATGATTAATTACCGATATTGTTGATGATTGTCAAACATCCGATTGGTGGTTCTGCCTGGGCTGATGTGACAATGGCCCGTCACATCTGCTAGAATACTATGCAGCACTGAAGTGGGCCCCTCCTCTCTGTCTCTCTCTGTCCCCGTCTCCCCCTCTCTCTGTCCCTCATCTCTCTGCCCTCTCTGACCGTCATGTGAGTCCCCTGAAATCCATGCTCCCCTTCCATCCTACTCTGTCCCTATCTCTCATCTCTCTTTCCCTCCTCTCTCTCTCTCTCTCTCTCTCTCTCTCTCTCTCTCTCACACACACACACACACACACACACACACATAAGACAACCTTTTTTGCATGATGTTTGTGATTTTTGAGAGCTGCATCTAATGATGGAAACTTGTCAAATCCGACAGAGGCTTTTAGAAGGGTTTCTAACACCCCAAATCACAAAAATTTGATTGGCATTTCTCATCCTGCCTTCAGGGAGCAGTGGGTGGGCAGGGCACTGAGCCCCAGCTCCTTCCACTTCCCAGCCTACGTTTATGATGGATTCTACCCCATCCCCTAGGGAGGGTCCCCACCCCAACCCCAACCTTGCCAGAACCATCTAGAGCTTTCTGCCGTGGCTGCCCCTTCCAGGAACCCACGAAAGGGGCCACCCACCCAGGCCACATCCCTCCGCAAAGATGAGAAACTGCTGATAAATTTTTGTGTGTACATCGTGCTGCGGTCAGCGACTGCTGGTCAGCGAAACCCGTTGCTATGAGATGCTTCGTGTCTCTATTGATATCTATATTGTTTGTGAAGTATCTTCCTTTGAAGTTTTCTTTGTGTTGAAATTTGTTTTTATAATTTTTTTTTCTGTTTTCATTTGGGGGACTAAATGAATGGGGGCCGATGAAGGCCCTGTTTATATTTAAATGCCTTTCTACCCTTTTTTTCCCTTTTTTCTTTCTTTCTGTCATTCTTCCTTCCTGCTCCGAATCCTCCCCTCCTTGACCCTCTGGCCCATACCGCGGCCTGCCCCCCCAGTCCGCCGCGTGGCCCCTCGCTTCTCCATCCTGCCCATGAGTCACGAAATCATGCCTGGTGGGAATGTGAATATCACCTGCGTGGCAGTGGGCTCACCCATGCCCTACGTGAAGTGGATGCAGGGGGCTGAGGACCTGACACCCGAGGATGACATGCCTGTGGGCCGGAATGTTCTAGAACTCACAGATGTCAAGGACTCGGCCAACTACACGTGCGTGGCCATGTCCAGTCTGGGCGTCATTGAGGCTGTGGCTCAGATCACCGTGAAATGTAAGTTGGGGTCCACGTCGGGGGTGGGGGCGCCACACTCCCACACACCCTGGTGTGGGTGGCAGGTAGGGCAGGAGATATCAGGTGACCAACCTAGATGAGGTGAGTTGACGCACAGTGACCACGTGTAGGGCCAGGAGATGCAGAAGAGCTGGGTGTGGTGAGCACCATCATTCCAGCGCTGGGCAGGCCTAGGCAGGAGGACCGAGGGAGTCAAGGCCAGCCTGGGTTACACGGTGAGTCACTGAGACCCCAGAGTCAAGCAGGTTCAAGTCGGGGGTCGGGGGCGGTAGGGCTACAGGAGCAAGTTAAGGTGATTCTGATGCTGGGAGGTGGGACAGATAACCTGTGCGGAGGCCCCCAGGCTCTGGGAGGGGAAGACTTCGCAACGCTGCAGTGTTTGCCGTTCGCAGAGTCTGACATCAAGCTTTCCAACCAAGGCCCAGCTGGGAGTTGAATCTGACCCTCCACTTGCTAGTGTGCAGATAAACTTTTATTGACACACAGCTGCACAGTTATTCACACCTAATCTTTGACATCCTTGAGACAACAAGGTAAAGCCAAGTACTAGGTCACCAGACTGGCCATTGGACTTCCCGGCCTGTGAGTGTGAGGTGTAGCGTGAGGAGACAGGCGTAACAGCAAGGTGTAAAACCAGGCTGACTGGTGGGGAGCAGACTCAGGAATGAGACAAACTCATGTGGAGAAAGCAAGTGGTGGAGGTGTCCCGGGCTGCGTGACAAGGGTGGCTTGAGGTGTCCACACAGGGTCAGAGTGTCCAGATGCAGGGAATAGCATATGTGGAAACAGACAGCATCCTCATGTGAACGAGCAGAGTAAGCCAGAGAGAAGTGGACAGGAAGGAAATGGCTCCTTATGGGCAAACAGGTCCCTTTGTTTTCCTTGCTTTTTGCAAGCCTGGAGCATACTATGCTGAGACAGCAGGCATGAGCCACACCACACCCATCTGAAAATACTGTTCTGATAACAGTAACCAGACACTGTTGGGCATGCCTGTCATTCCATTACTCCAGTCCAGAGTTATCCTTGGCTACATAGAGTTCTCGGCCAGTCTGGGCTACATGAGATCCTATCTTAAAAAAAAAGCTGGGTGTGTTGGTGCATGCCTTTAATCCCAGCACTTGGGAGGCAGGGGCAGGCAGATCTTTGAGAGTTCGAGGCCAGTCTGGTCTACACAGTGAGTTCCAGGACAGCTGGGGCTACAAGGGAGACCCTGCTTCAAAAAAAAAGGGAGAGAAAAAGAAGAAAAGAAGAGAAAAACAGTTGTGGTAATGCACACCTGTAACCCCAGCACTCAGGACACAGAGGCAGGCAGATCTTTGTGAGATTGAGGCCAGCCTGAGCTATATAAGCTTTAGGCCAGCCTGGGCTACAGGAGGGCCCTGTCTCAACAACAAAAATGAAAACAACCATAAAAGTAAACACTTTGGGCTTTGCAATCAGCTGTTTCTGCCGTGTCTCCTCAGCCTTGGCAGTGCAGTCAGCCATTGACAGCGGCAGCACAGCCATGTTCTGATAAAACTTTATTTAAAAAACACCAATGCAGAGGCTTTCATTGCTGACTTAATGCTACTCATGCTGAGATGAGTGGGTTCAGGCCTGCACTGTACGCCAAGGAAACAGGGCTGAGAGAGGGTAGCCGTGTGTTGGGAAGTCACCTGGTCTTCAGAATTCCCCGTGTCTACCCTGCAGCCCTCCCCAAAGCCCCAGGGACGCCTGTGGTGACGGAGAACACAGCCACCAGCATCACCATCACCTGGGACTCAGGCAACCCAGACCCTGTGTCCTACTATGTCATTGAATACAAGTCCAAGAGTCAGGACGGGCCGTACCAGATCAAAGAGGACATCACTACCACGCGCTACAGCATCGGGGGCCTGAGCCCCAACTCGGAGTATGAGGTCTGGGTGTCAGCAGTGAACTCCATCGGTCAGGGGCCTCCCAGTGAGTCGGTCGTGACCCGCACAGGCGAGCAGGCACCGGCCAGCGCACCACGTAATGTGCAGGCCCGCATGCTCAGCGCCAGCACCATGATCGTGCAGTGGGAGGAGCCTGTGGAACCCAATGGGCTGATCCGTGGCTACCGCGTCTACTACACCATGGAGCCTGAGCACCCGGTAGGCAACTGGCAGAAACACAACGTGGACGACAGCCTGCTGACCACCGTGGGCAGCCTGCTGGAGGACGAGACCTACACAGTGCGTGTGCTGGCCTTCACCTCCGTGGGTGACGGACCACTGTCCGACCCTATCCAGGTCAAGACTCAGCAGGGAGGTAAGGCAGCCACGGCCCCTACACCACCATCCCAGGTCCCAGGCTCATGTCCAGTAGGACAGACTTGACCCAGACCAGATGCCCCCAGGGCCCATCCTCCTGTAGCCTCCAATTCAGCAGGGTCTTAATGTACATAAGTGCCAGGCCTTGTGATCGTTGCAGCCTGAGACCCAGTATGCTTTGGTCATTGAAGCAACCGAGGTCACATCTTTAATTTTAATTTTTATTTTTATTTATTTTATTTTTATTTTATGTGTATTCATGTATTCCCTGCATGTAGGTAAGTACACCCATGTTGTGCAGTGCCCATGGAGGACAGAAGAGGCTGTCAGATCCCCTGGAACTGGAGTTATGGACAGTTGTTAGCCGCCATGTGGGTGCTGGGATTCGAACCCAGGTCTTCTGCAAGAACAGTCAGTGTTCTTAACCGTTGAGCCATCTCTCCAGCCCCAAGAGGTCATATCTTTAAAAAGAATAAATAGGGGCTACAGAGCTGGCTCAGCGGTTAAGAGCACTGGCTGCTGTTGCAGAGGACCCGGGTTCAGTTCCCAGCACCTACATGGTGGCTAACAACTGGCCATAACGCCTGTTCCAGTCCAGGGGTTCCAACACCCTCTTCGGACCTCCACGGGCATTGCACGACATGGGTGCATTTACATACATGCAGACAATATACTCATACACATAAAATAATAAAAGAAAAATAAAAAAGAATAAATAGCCAGGCATAGTGGCACATGCCATAAACCCCAGCACTCAAGGGGCAGAGGCAGGAAGTTATCTGTGAGATCAGACCAGTCTGGTCTACGTAGTGAGTCTCAGGCTAGCCTGAGCTACATAGAAAACTAAAAACCTAAAAACAAAAGCAGCAACCAAGCAGTGTCCCCTGGGCAGGTGCAGGGCTTCCTTCCTCTGTAGGAAGATCTCAGCCCTGTCAGAGCTTCTCTCCTTTGGGGTTCACACTCTGAAAGCCTAATGCCCCAGAGGACCTGGTCATGTGTCCCCCAAGGGGTCGAAGCAGATGAATGGCCACATTGAATCTGACCCTTCTCCCACTTCTCTGCGACTGAGTTAATAAGGGACAGGGATGGCTGCAAGGAAGTGATGAGAGAATATTATGCTGCCTGTCCTGTTGGAAGAAGGAAAGGGAGGAAGGGCAGGTGACAATGGAGGAGGGCTAGTCCCGTGGAAACATCTGGAAGCATCTGGGGCCTGCCCTGGGGATCAGGCTGTCTGGGCAGCCAAGTGGCCTCTGCAGTCAGACATGTGGCCATCACCTCCTGTATCTGCTCCTCCTACAGTACCTGGCCAGCCCATGAACCTGCGGGCCGAAGCCAAGTCTGAGACCAGCATTGGGCTGTCATGGAGTGCACCGAGGCAGGACAGCATCATTAAGTATGAGCTGCTCTTCCGGGAGGGTGACCGCGGCCGAGAGGTACCAGGGCTAGTGACGGGGACAGAGTGGAATGGGCAGGCAATGGGGGATGGGCCAACAGGGGACATAGGATGGGATGTCTGGGCCAGGATGATGGGGACAGGCCAGCAAGATGGGATGGCAGGGACAGGACAGGACAGTGGGGACAGGAAAGTGGAGCTGGGACAGTGTGAACGGGATGGCGGGGTCAGCAGAAATGGGATGGCAGGCTCCAGGCAGTGGTGGCTTTTCTTGCTCACCCCGCTGCCTCCCTGTCTCTCTCCATCTCTCCCTGTTCCTACCCTGCACCCACCATGCCTTCTGTCCACGGCCGTGGGTCCGTCTGGCCTCTTGTGTCCTGTCTCTGTGTCTGACCTGCTGTCTGTCTCTATCTCTGTCCCCATTCACCTGTCCCCATCCCTCTGTCCTGGTGTCCCCCATCCTTGTCCATCCGTTCCTATATCCCTATCCCTCTGTCCCTGTCTATCCATCGGTCCCCATGTCCTCGTGTCCCCATGGTCAGGTGGGGCGCACGTTCGAGCCAGCCACAGCATTTGTGGTGGATGACCTGAAGCCCAACACAGAGTACGCATTCCGGCTGGCGGCACGCTCCCCGCAGGGCCTGGGCGCTTTCACAGCCGTGGTGCGCCAGCGCACGCTGCAGGCCAGTACGTGTCGCTCAGCTCATCCTGTCCGTGGGGAGGGGGGCACAGCGCCTGCTGAGCCCATGGGTGGGACTCCTGCCTCGGCCTTGGCCTTGTCTGCCTGCCATGCCTCAGTTTCCCCAGAGTGGGAGGGTCTCACGGGAGAGGACACAGGACAGAACCACCTCAGTCTGGCTGTGTGGTGGATCCTGTCCCCGTGCTGTTCCTACAGAGCCCCAAGGCTGCTACCCCCATGGGCCCAGGATGACAGACACTGTCCTGTCCCCCCCACTGAGCCCTTTCTGCCCCAGGCAGGCCTCAATGGCCTATGATAAGAGAGGGGACCACTCAGGGTGGCACCAGATTTCGGGGGAGGCTTGTGGCCCCCGATAAGGAGTCCTGGGTCCCTGGAGTGGTTTGCTGTGCCTGGTTGGCTTGTCACACGTCACCTGTCCCCACTTGACTGCCTCTGAGCCACAGAGTGGCCCTGGCCATCTCCACCTCTGTCCCAAACTCATCACCCAGGGTCCACTTGTAACCCTGTGCCAAGCCAGCATGGCCTTGGCCACTGTGGCCCCTTTGCACCTCCTCTGGCCTGATCCTGTCATCACATTGCCACCAGACATGGTTCTGGAAGCATCCGGGACATGGCAGCTTTTACACTCCAGGCATGTGCACATAGGGTGGGACTCGGGTCCCTCAAGGGTGACGTGAACTTGGGCCAGGGTCTCTCCAAGGGAAGGACCATGAAGATGTGGTCCCCTGTGGCCAGGTCCCTGTCCCTCCTTCCCACCCCCCATGCTGAGCCCCAATTGGCTCCCAGGCGGCGCTGTCAGGTGGAGGTCAGTGAGGGTGGCCTGTGGCCTGGGGCCACCAAGCGGCCGGCAGAGGTGGCCCGCAGGTGAGTACGAGCTGGTCTCAAGCGAGTCACAAACACGGCCTACCCTGCGTGTCCCTTGCCAAGCCTGGGCTGCACACCCAGCCCAGGGGAACCCCCCAAAAGCAACCCTGATGGGACAGTGCATGCATGTATCCAGCCTCTCATGCGCCCCCTTCTAAGACACCACGCAGGTTGGGCCGGATTGTGAAGGTCGTGACCTCTGAGGTCACCCAGAAAGCGACTTAAGCCTGGCCATGTGCCCCAGGGCAGCCCAACACAGGGAGTGGGGAGACGGGCACCCCGCTTCTCGCCCCTGACTCGGGGCCAGTCCTGTCCCCAGGCTGCAGGCTCCTTAGGTCCTGTCAAGGGTAGGTGCGGGCCCCGCCAACCACCGCGGGTGTCCCAAGACGCCGCTGTCCCTCGCTCGCCGGAGCTGGCCCAGGGCCACCAGAGCTCCGCGTAAGAAAGTCTGTTAAGTTAGCGATTGGAGGAGTGGAAGGTAGGTAACGACCGGGCGTTTCTGGAAGGCGTCTTTCTTTCTTTTATTATGATTTTTCCATCATCATCACCATCACCCCCATTTCTCGTTTTATCGTTATCTTTTTTATTTTAATTATCCTACCGTTTCTCAGCAAATCCATTCTTTCCAGCACATTCCCTGTGCTTATTTTATTCCCTCCATCCCTACCTTACTTCCCCCCGGGCTCTTTACGTTGGAGTGGCTGGTCAAGAAATGGGGCCCCCCACTTTGAGACTAGTTTCCCAGGAAGGGGAGCCAGGAGACTCCTAGGTGCAGCAAGCTACTGGCTTTCCCTGGCACAGGCGGAAGTGTGTAGTCCTAATTCTGGCTGAAACAGTCCAGAGCCTGAATTTAAATCCTGCCTCTGCCCTCAGCCAGGCAGTCTGCCATTTTTGAGACTGACTTTCTCTGCCTGCAAAGTAGGATCCACCCCGGGGCTTCTGGAAGGATATAGAGCCAATACAGGAGTGTGGAGGACATGTCTGACACCTAGTAGGTGCATATCCCATCTCAGTAGCCAGACCAGTGGCCTCTGGAGCCAGTGACCTACCCTTGATGACCCAAGGCAGGAACAGGGATGGCAGCTCTGAGCAGTTGCAGGGCTGTGAGGGTTCAATGAGGTCACATGTGCGTGTGGCCTCAGCAGGCAGATGAGACAGGGTCCGGAGGTAGTAGTCATTCCTACAGGACAACCACTGGCCCATAATAGCTCTACAGGTGCCCCAGGTCCCTTGGTTTATGTGCAGTGAAGTAGGTTCTTTATAGTGCAAACAAATCCCTTGACATCCTATCTGGCACACAGTAGGTACTCCCTAAGTGTTATTTGAAGTCTCAGTGTGGACTTAGACACGTAGTCAGCACTTCACAAGCAGAAGCTGATGCTGGGCACACAGTAGGTCCCCAGAACACAGGGCTGTGACAAGTCTGCAGACCTCTTGAATACAGTAAGCATTGTTAGCATCACTTGATGTAAGGAAGTCAACTTGGTGCTAGCATATGATAGATGTTCAGGTCTCACCATCAGTCTGGAAGGGACTTGTGTGGTTCAGGCTTTGCTCAAAACAGTTTCCTGCCACGCCCCTGGCACCATGTGCAAGAAAAGGTACTCAGTAGTAAAAGCTGCAATCAATTTAACTAAGTCAGGTCCTTAGCTCAGTGCCTGGCCCACAGCAGGCACTTACTACATGGAGATGGTGAACCTTTGATGACCCTCCTGACAGTACCAGGCACCCAGTAGGTACTTAATAGGTGTTGACCATTGCTGTTAAGTAGTAACACTTAGCATATAGTAGGTGCTTAATATGTTAAGAGCTCTTAATGTTCAACAGGGTCCATAGCCCGGTACCTAGCACACAGTAGGTACTTAAAGTGCAGGAACTATTCGGCCAGTGCCTAGGGCACAGTAAGTGTTTAACATGTGGAGACTTGTAAAGCCCCAGGCATAGGTATTTTTAATATGTGGATACTGCTAGCCTGCTCTCTGGCATAGCGTAAGTTTTTAACATATAAAAGACTGTTAACCCAGTGCCTGCACACAGTTGCTTTTTAATGTGGGGCCTGTTAGCTCCCTGAGTGGCACATAGTAGGTATTTAATATGAGGGGACTGTTAACCTAGTGCCAGGCACACAGTAGGTGTTTAATGTGTAGGAACTGTCAGCCTGGTGCCTGGCACATAGTAGATGTTTAATATATGGGAATCGTTAGTCCAGTGCCTGGTACATAGTAGGTGTTTAATATGTGGAGACCGTTAACTCAGTGACCAGCTCACAGTAGATGCTTAATATGTAAGAACTCTTAACCTTCTAGGGGTCCATAATTCAGTGCCTGGTGGGTGCACAGTATTTAATGTGGGGGTACTGTTAGCTCAATGCCTGCCACATAGTAGGTTTTCATTGTGAGGGGACGCTTGACCCAGTGCCTAGCACACAGTAGGTGTTTAATGTACAGGGACTGTCAGCCCAGCCAAAACACAGTAGGCGTTCAATGTGTGTGGACCAGTGCCTGGCACATAGTAGGTGTTTAATATGCAGGGACCATTAATCCAGTGCCTTACACACAGTAGGTATTTAAAATATGAGCACTGTTAACCCAGTGCCTGCCACATAGTAGGTTTTAATGTTCAGGGACTGGTAGTCCTGTGCATTGCACACAGTAGATGCTTAACCACAGTGCCTGGCACATGGAGATAGGGTGTCCATGTAGCCCCAGCTGGCCTGGAACTCACAGAGATTCAGGTGCCTCTGCCTCTCAAGTGCTGGGAGTTGTTTAATATTAGAAACTGTTAGCCCAGGGTCTGGTGCACAATAGGTCTTTAATGTGTGAGAACTGGAGCCCAGCACACAGTAGGTATTTAATATGTGTAGACTGCTAGCCTACTGCCCAGCACACAGTAGGTGCCTGATGAACCTGTGCTTTTATTATAACTCTGTGAAGCACTGGGGTGCTAACTGGCACACAGTAGGTGCGCAAAACACAACATGACTTTCTCCTTTGAGCAAGAGGTACAGCTGGGTAGTGGTGCAGCTGTGGATTGGCTTCCTAGGTGGGACCCTGAGAGTTGATCACCAGGCTTTTATCTCAAAGTACTGCAGTCTTCAGCACTGTGCACGGCACACAGTAGGTGTGCAGCAGATATGTGCATTTGCTGTTGTCTGAGAAGGCCTTGGCATGATGCTTGGTCACTTTAGCAAGTGCATACCACATAGTAGGTCTACAACACATGCCTTTGTAGCCTACTCTACAAAGCCCATGTCAAATGCCTTGTACATCATAGGTGCCTAATAAATGGAGCTTCTCTTGCTCCCCTTGGCATGTTGCCCAGCACACAGTATGTGCCTGGGAGGCATGTACTTTATGCTTCGTCATGAAGCCTCCATGAAGTGCCTGGAGCATAGTAGGTGCCCAGTAGCTGGCTCTTCAGTTGAGATCCCCCTTGTCATGGCACCTGGCGCATAGTAGCTGTCAGGTGCATCTGTGTATCACTGGGTGGAGTCCTCGGCATGTCTAGCACATAGTAGGTGCTAAGTATGTTAAGTTTTTATTGAGATCCCCTGTTATAGTACCAAGGACATAGTAGGAGTTCAGCAATTGATTTTCCTATTCTGCAAAGCCTGTGGCAAGGGCTTGGCACACAGTAGGTGCTTGCTGTACTGAGCCTCCCTTGTGAGTTTCCCTGCCATAGAGCCAGTCACACAGTAGGTGCTCAACCAATGGCTTCCCTGTTCTGTGAAGCCGATGTCGTGCTTGTGACAATATTAGGTTCCTGCCCCCACACAGTTCTTCCTGTTCCTCTCAGGGAGCTCTGGGCCTACCACTCAACACTTAGTGGATGCACACTGGCAGGAGCTTTCATCAGCATTCCCTGTCACAGTGCTTGGGGACAGACCGCCTGAGTCCTACTGTGCACCAGGAAGGCCCCGCCCCCAGAATTGAGCGCAGCATTCTTGGCCAGCCTCCCAGCTCTGCCCACCTGCCCATCTCACCTTCAATTGATACCCGCTTCCTTTGGGTCCGACTTTTGTTTGGTTCGGTTGTGTTTTGTTACCATCTTTTATTTTCTCTCCCCATCTTTTGTTTCCCCGCCCCTCCCCCACCCATCCCACCTCCCCC